GAGTCCAATAATTTCATAGTAATAGATTCTTTATCATGAAATCCTTGATTTCTGTCCCATTTTGCTATTTTCTCCACAGTATTCTCTAGTCCCTTATAATATCACAAGCTTTTTTTTTTAAGATTTCTTTATTTATGCATACAAGAGCTGGGGTACAGGCCAGTGATGCAGGGAGTTAGAGGAGTCACCAGAGACAGAGAGGGGAACAGAACAGGCAGAGCCACTGAAATACACTGCTGAGAGGAGCAGCAGGCAAGTCAGGAGAGGTCTGCTGCACCATGTGGGTTGCTTCCTGGCCTGGGATCAAACTCATGCTGCAGAGGCTGCAGTCTGCTTCATAGTGCGTTGCTTAATCCCTTGCGCCACCAGGGAGGCCCAATTTCACAAGCTTTATACCCAAGCCAATATGATTTTCAAACTTTATTGGTTATGGTAAATTAATCTTAGCCTATAGTGTAGAATACTGTTCTTGACACTCACAATTTTGTATTTGCTCATTTTTAGGTGTGTCAAAGAATAAATTACTTTGCTGCATAATGCAACATAACAGTTCCACAACTCAGTGTGGTTTTTATACTGATTGAACTTGTCTGCTGGGTGAGACATTTTGAAAGTTAGCAGCTCAGACCTCCAAACCTGGTGAACTCATTATCATACAAACTTGACATAATCTGCAGAACTGACAAGTAAAATTTGTGATATTTGCTAAAAATTAATAGCATTTCAGTATTTGTAAGTCCCCATTACTAAGGAATAAAATGGTTCCTCTTTTAATTTAGACTGTTTTCAAGTGCAGTAGGAAATGTTTCTTATAATTTTTGAAATTACATTGTCATATTTTATGATTTGATTTGTGTATTAAATGTAAAATGTAGCTAGTGTCTAAAGCTTTCATTTTCTCTCAGTAAATGTGAAAATATAATTATGAATCTTTCCAAAAATGAATGTATTATTTTTTTAGAGAAGTGATTATGAGCTGAGTTCTCTGGAAAAACAAGGAGAGTAAGCTACAAACTAATGTGATGTTATTTTGTCTGCTAATGCAGATAAATCTGTTCCTAATAAAAGCCAGGGGCTTATTGAAAAATGTAGTTGTAGAGAAAAGTTGATTATGATGCAAATGTTGTGATTTCATCTCATAGGGAAAGCACAGGTAATTGAAATCTTTAGATCATTTTCACACTTATTTTAGATATTCATCCGTACCTTTCCCCAAATTAAATATTGTACCACATCCAAAGTGTTATAACTTTTGAAACTAAATCTATTTTTTAAAGATTTATTTTTTATTTATTTATGCATACAAGAACTAGGGTGTAGGCCAGAGGTGTGGTGGGGGGGGGGTGAGAGAATTCGCCAGGGAGAGCGGGGAACAGAACAGGCAGATCTACTGAAATACACTGCTGAGGGGAGCAGCGGGTGAGACAGGAGTGGTCTGCTCTGCCATGTGGGTCAGCTCCCTGGCCTGGGATTGAACTCATGCTACAGTGGCTGTGGATAGCTTGATAGTGCTGAGACTTTAACCCCAGTGCCACCAGGGAGGCTCTGAATATAGATAATGTTAAGAGATACTTATATTTAAATTTTGAGAATTGGCACTTCAATCATTTCATCTAAAAGTAATTATTGAGCTTTTGCCTGTCACACATGCTAAGCTGTTAAAATTGCAATAAGACACTCACAACCTGAGCCCAAAGTTTACAGCTCAGAGGTTTTGTGTTTGCATGTTTTCTCCATTTTTCTAAGGCAAATAATCCCAGTCTCCTTTCATTAGCATCTGCCTCCTTAGCAGAGGTGTGATCTGTAGTTGTAGTGCGGAATTTTCTCTTTGAGAAGCATCTCATTGGGGTGAACCTGCCAATGGTGCCTGCATTCTATCTCTAGACACAAGTGACAGAGCAGATAAACCTGGGGAACTTGAAGTCAAATAATGTAGCCTGGGCTTCATTTTCTTAAGTTGGTTTGCACACCAGGAGTAGGGAGTAATATTCTAAGGAAGCCCAAAATGCGTGAGCAGATTCCCTGTCATACTGTCTCCTTTCCTTCCAGCGAGGCTGTGACTTTTCCCCAGTGCTCTGGGCACAGCTTGCTGATAAGAACATATGTTTCAGAAGTGCGATGACAGAAGTAGGTTTTTTTGTGCTATCTTGGGCACCTTCTGTAGCAGTGTGTTTGTTTTTTTACAGCTTGACTGAGGTGTGACTGACACAAAATAAATGTCATGTTTTTATAACATAGTTTGATAAGTTCTGGCACAGGTATAAATCTGTAAATCTGTAATTACAGTCAGATGATGAAAAAATCATAACCTCAAAAAAGTCTCTTCATGTGCCTGTGGTACCGAGAATTCTAAGCTCCAGATTCTTCATCTGTAAAAGCAATATGAACATAGCAACCTCATAATTTTGTAGTAAAAGAGCTACAAAATACAGGTAAGGGACACACTATGTAGCAGAAGAGAGGTCTTTGTTAGACCCTTATCCCAACTTTGCATTTAATGATTATCATTCTCCCCCCACATAAGTCAAATCACTTCTGATGCTTATAAACAGAAATAAAAGATTTCTAGGTAAAGGCCGCACAAGTTTAAGTAGGGGTAGCTGTAAAGAAAAGAGAGCTGCATGTTTTAAACTACAGAGAGAGGAAAGTACAGACACATGCCTGGTGCTGGCTGACAAGTGAGCAAAAATCTGTGCATGAGTGTAGAAAGGAGAGGGCACGTCGAGGGCATTGAAGTCTGATTTTTCATCAACAGCTGGCACCAAGGGGTGGGGATTCCACAAAAGGTGAGCTCAGAATATATCATTTCTAAAATGTCACTTTGACATATTATTTTAAATTAAAGTTACCTGAGAAACGGCTGGTCCAAGAAGGATGCTCTGACTCTTTATTGACCCCCAGAATGCAGAAGGTAAATTTCCCATGTGAAAGTTACCCTCCCGGTACCAGCAGGGTAGAAAGAAAGCATCCTTATCAGCAAGAACAGGGAATTTAGGTAATTCTTTTTCCATTTCTTACTCCACACCCAAACACCTCTACCATATCCATTTCCCACAAATTTGTCTTTTGTCCGACTCCCGCTCTGGTTACTTCCTTGCATTTCAGATCATTTTTCTCTTATTAATATTTTTTTTTATTATAGGGAAAAGTTTCCTTATCCCAGAATCCAAACGGGTAGAAGGAAAATTATTTTTCCTTCCCAACACTTTCCATCCAACCATCCCACAAATTACAAATTAATTTGTAATTTTCCAAATTACATTAAAGGTGGCCTAAGGAAATTTTCCTTAGAATAAAATGGTACTACTTCTCCTTGACCGTAAGGCTGACAGCATAGTGGTTTCTGGGTATCAAATCTCAAGGGAGTATCATTAATATTTCTAGAAAGTCCTTAGTGATGATGTATAAATATTGCCAACTTTGTTTAACTATGTTTAACTGCATTGGGATAAGAACGCAGAACATCCTCTATTCCTACACAAGGTGGAATTTTACTCTGGTTTAGTGGTGTAATGGAAGTAACAGCTAAAGATTTTCCATCCAGGTGCTTGGGTTTCTGAGACATGCTGAGAGTCTGGTCCCTGATCATATGACCTCAGTCTCTTCTACCCTACAACCAGTTTAATTTAAAATTAACTTCCATTCAAATTAGTGTTTTGTGGGTTTTTTTTTTTTTGGCATATTCCTAGGAGTGGAATTTCTGGATCATATGGTAAAACTATTTTTATTGTTTTGAGGGACCTCAACACAGCTTTCCATAGTGGCTTGACCAGTTTACATTCCCACCAGCAGTGTAAGAGTGTTCCTTTTTCACAATCTCCTTGCCAGTATGTTGTTTCTAATTTGCACTCCTATGTTTATTGCAAAACTATTTACAACAGCCAAGATATTGAAATAACCCAAGTGTCCCCCAAAAGATGAATGGATCAAGAAGGTGTGATATGTGTGTATATATATATATATATATATATATATAATGTATACACACACACACACACATATACAAAATGGAATACTACTCACCAATCAAAAAGATAAACTCATGCCAATTGTGGCAACATGGATGGAGTTGGAAGGGATTATGCTAAGTGAAATAAATCAGAAGGAAAAAGATAAATATTGGATAATTTCACTTATATGTGGAATGCAGAGAAACGAAAGGAGGGTCAAAAATAAGAGAAAACATGCAAGCTGACCATAGATCTGAGGCATCCAGTAGGGGAAGGAGAAAGTGAAGGATTAAAATAGGGGAGGGAAGAGCACAAGGGACTGGACTATAGTGACAGATCACAGGTGCTGTGGTGGTGGGAGAACTATGGGGACTACACCTGAGGGGAGAAATCAAATACTTTATAAAAATTAACTATGTAAGAAAATAAATGTAAAGAAACAAATAAAAATAACTTCCACTGATGCACTAGAAATTTTCAAAATCCAGAAACTGCCTTGCCTGACTGCATGAACACTTTGCTAAATCTCATGTGTTGTCCTCCTATAATGCCTCAAACCATCTTTTTTTCTTTTTAAAGATTTATTTATTTATTTATTTATTTATTTATTTATTTATTTATTTATTTATTTATTTATTTATTTATACAAGCACTGGGTATAGTCAGAAGCCCGGGAGGGTGAGAGAATTCACCAGAGCCAGAGTGGGGAACAGAACAGGCAGACTGATGAAATACACTGCTGAGGGGAGGTCTGTCACGTCATGTGGGACCCTCGCTGGCGGCTGGGGACCGAACCTGTGCTGCAGAGGCTGTGGGCAGCTTCGCAGCCCAGCGTTCACCTGCTGCACCACCAGGGGAGGCCCTCAAACCATCTTTTCACTGATTCTTAATGTATTAGAAGATTCCATGATTGTTTTTTAATATTATTGCTCCTATGAGGGAAAATTCTGTAGGGAGGTTCTGAGTCCTTAATACCAGTATTCCCATTGCTAGTGCAGTGCTTTCCAAAGTGAGGTGTTCAATTAAGGCTTGGAGAATAAATTAGCCAGTGAGCATGAGATCTAATTTATTAAGATTTATTTCATACATATTGTTGAAACAGCTATATAATCAAGGTTATGCGATTAATTTATGGAACAAGGACTAAAAGGGAAAATAAAAAACTGAAGGCTTCTCTAGAAAGCAAGTTTTCCTTATGTCCCAAAAATGCTTATAGCAGTATCATGTTGTCTTATTGCAGAAGACAAAATGTTTCACAATTTGTTTTACAAAACTACAAAGCTCTTACTGTTTAACCTCATTGTGAATGAGGATGAACACTATCATCTATAAAACCTTGAGATTTTAAAGCTAATGAAATCTCTATTTTAAAAAGACATTAGAATAATACATCAAAAAACAAAAAAATTCAAGTTATACATATAAAACAGAAAAACATAGGCATAATGTGTGTTCCTCTTAGCCCCATCTAAGACATAAATTGTATCAACTCTTGTTTCTTGAAAGAGTGCATGAAGAAACTATCCCTCACTTGCCTAGGTGTGGAAGGAGCTGGTGAACTTGGCAGTGGCCATGAAAGGAAACTCAGCACTGGCTGAAATATTGCCTCGGGCTCTCTCTTCTTCATCCTTCAAGGCCTCCTCATACTGAGATGAGAAATTACTAGGCTCAGTCCTATTGACCTTGGCCAGAAACTCTAGGACTTTCATCTTGGTGGTTTCAGCATGGGCTCTTGGGCCCCACAGGAATTCAAGTTGCACAGGATTTCTGGTGGCCACCTGCTGGTAGACCAGATAATTTTCCTTCACAAAATCTTTGATGATCTCCCTGGGATCCCCAAAGATGAAGTGCTTCACTCCAGGATAAATGCCCATCAAACTCAGAACTTCCCAGACTTCTTCTTCAGTGGCATGGTTGCCCTTCATGAAGATCACACCCAGCACAAGAATCAGGATGCCGGTCTTGGGCACGCCCTCTTCACCACTCATCAGCCCATCATAGGTGAGGCCTGCTTTGATAAGGAGGACATAGCAGTGGTTGATAGGATCCACTTCCTGCACATCAAGGCCAAAAATCATCTCCATGCGCTCCATAGCTCTCAGCAGGATCTCAGTGAAGTAGTACTCATATTCTTTGATGACTGTATTCAACATATCTGCTTTGGTTATCGGCTGTTTCACTTGATACTTGAAAAGCATGAAATTCACCAAGATTGCCACTTTCTCCTCTAGAGGATATATGAGTGCATTCTTGGCATCTGGCTCAGCCAGTGAAGTGCTTGAACTCTCCTTTGCTTGGCTAGTGGAGCCCTCCTCTGACTTGCTTGATGAGGTGGACATGGAGGCAGTGCCAGAGAAAGAGACACTCTGAGGACCCTCAGGAATACTGGCCATACCAGCTTCGGGAGCCTCCTTCCGATTGGCAGGCATTAGAGGATGGGAGGAGAGGGAGGTCTCCTCCAGGGCCTTGGTGATCTGTGCAATCTCCAGGCTCTGGACATTACTTCTGGCCTCAGGGCATAAATGATGTGAGAATCGTGGGCTCTTCTGATGCCAAGGCATGGTGGCTCTAGTGGGTGGCAGTGGACAAGAGAGTGTTGGGAAGGACCGACAACAGGGAATCACTGCCTAAGAGAAAGAAGGCAGATGTTGAGTGGTCTCCACTGTAATGTCAACTGTGGCTATATTGAACATGTCCTGACAACCATGCTATAGGGCCTAACAGGTCCTCTGATTTTCTGATTACTGCATCCTCCAAGAACACGAAGATGGAAGCTTAAATACTCCTCGGGGTTCAGTCAGCCAACCCAGGCTGAGAATTCTTAGGGATCAAAGTAGGTGGGCATGGCTGGGCTCTTCAGAGTTATTTCTGTTCTGAGGAGGGTGTTGCCATCACTCCTCACTTGGGTTCATTATTTTGGTATTGGATAGATCTGGGTCCCTCCCTATCCTATCGTGAGTCTGTCCCTCTGAGACCAAAGTCATATAACCTGAGACAACCAAGTAGGAAATATGAGGTAACTTATCCCTTCCTGCTTCCCCCCAGGGCTGAAAACAGGAGCTAAATCCTGTGCAAACTATCTGTTCTGGTGTGGAGGGTCTCCCAGCTCTCACTGGGATGTTCCACTGAATCCAGGCAAGTCCAGGGATTTCTTCTTTTGGTGACTTGACACTGCCTCTCAAAACACTGGAAGCAGTAAATAGGGGTTACACTCACTCGACAGTGTCAGCACTGACAACAGTTTAGGGCTTGTCAGAGATCTTTTTACTTTCGGGATCAGTTGTCCTTCAACATTCATTGAGGTCTTTACCTTGGCTACTGGTGTCATCCCTGCACCCTAATAGCTGAGACTAATCCTCTGGACAAGTTTTCATATATATATATATATATATATATATATACACACACACACATATATACACACAATATTATATTTCATAATTATAATTATATATAGATATGATTATATAAATTATACAAATAATTATAATTATAAATTATAAAAATGATTATATAATATATAATTATATTATATATACGTTTTCTTGTTCATCTCCCTCTTTTGGGTTGGGTGGACCACTCAGATCCCACTGAGGGTCTTAACTGTGACTTCTGACAGGCTCTGAATTATTTCCCTTACTAGCCTCATATGATAATAGTCACCAAAGATCTAACCCAACCCCAAAGGTAAAGAGGAGACACCTTTTCATGGGAACTTGCTCAGGTTTTTTGGCTGATATTGTGACTGGGCTCTTTGCTGACCCTATTTTTTGGGTGTGTACCTTTCAGTCTTCCTCATGTCTCCACATAGACTCTTCCATGGCTTGGGCACCATATCCACTGTGATGGAAAACATCAGACTAAGACTGCCACCTCAACTGGAAGCACAGTGCATGGACTGGACAATGCTGGTGAAACTCCTGGCCATCCTAGTCTGGGACCTCCCAGGGAATGACAACAGGGGCAGTGTAGGTATCATGGGGTCCCAGCAATACCCCTGTAGATGGATAACAAACATCATGAATCTTGACAGTGTAGGAGACCCTCCCCTCTGCTGAGCTTATGTTGCACCCTCATACTGAAGACTTATGTCCCTGTGACCACTGAGGATAACTGCTGGGCATGTTGGAGCCTCAGTTTTTTAGGTGTGACTGCAGGACAGGGCTTTGTTGAGAGCATTCAATTCTGGAGTGGATTTCCCCATCAACCTCAGTTAGCTGGGTTTTTTTTTCCCTTGACTTACGGTAGGACCTGGGATCTGCTATAAAAGAAAGACGTAATCTTGTCACTTGTGATGTGATAATATGGATGGAAAGAGAGGCTATTATGCTAAGTGACAAAAGTCAAATGAAGAAAGAAAAATGGTATACAACTTCACTCATATATGGAGTATAAAGAATAAACCAAAGAATAAAACAATCTTTTGGATTAAAAGAAAAAAAAATGGTGTTTACCACAAAGAAGCAGGAGTGAAATGGGTAAATTAGGTAAACTTGGTACAGAGTATCATGGTAGATGAAAACCAGATCTTTGGTGTGATCATAAAAGTTATATGTACAGATGCTGAATACTATACACCTGAAACCTACATAGTGATAAAAACCATTGTTATTTAAATGTTTTTTAAGTGTGTGTGTGGAGCGGGGAGGTAGGGCAGGGAATAAGTTTAGGGTGCCTCTATGTTTTGGAGTGTGTTGTCCAGATGGTGTTGTGTAGGAGTCTTCATGTGAAGCTTGGCATGGCCTGGAACTTACCCTTTCCACCTCAATTTGCCTCCTCATATTAAATGAATACCAGGGAAGAGAGATTGGATGGTTCATCTAATCCTTGCTGGGATCTCCTAAGAGTTTCCTGTGATATGTGACCCCATTTTTATGTGGCCAGTTTGCCCTTCACACATAAGTCACAGGGCCCAGGAACATGTTAAGCCACACGTTCTATTTAGGAAAACAACTTCATTTTCCTGAGAATTCGGCATCCCACCCACCCCACCCCCCACTGCCTAGAAAATGAAGTGTCTTCTCTGCCTGCCATCCTTTCCCTGGACTCTCAGGACTGACAAAACTCAGAGGACTCCATGGTAGCCACTGTCTCATCAATTGGTTAGCCCCACAATACTTCCAAGTACTAATCAAATCACATATGCTGGTAATAAGCCTGGTGCCATCGATTACCCGAAGCCCCACCTTGAAAACAAGGCTCCATCTCTCGAAGTGAGGAGATACCTTACATAGGTACACAGAGATTCACTTGGTGGTGGGGGGGGGGGGTCTCACCAGGATTCCTACAGGGCCCAAGAATCTTCTTTCACGGATATAGTATGGTTACCTCACGCTAAGCCTTCCTTTCCCTCAGACTCTTGTAGCGGCGTCAGTAAGCGACATTTCCCGCCGCCACCGCCAGGGCCTCCTCAGGCTGACAGACTGGCTGATAATTCAGAGTCCGCTAAAGATCTGATTTGTGTGTTCCCTCAGGACTCGCGTAGGGGGGTTTTCATGACTACCGGCAATTCCTCAGACTCTCATCTCCCTCCCTCCAACAATCCCACCCCATTTCAACTCTTGCGTGTGGGTGCACACACACGCGCAGGGGTGCACGCCCACGTGCGCATACACACACACACACACACACACACACACACTCATGATCCCCCTGCCCTCCCTCTCCTCTCCATATTCATGGCCCCCTGCTCAATCCCTCACCTCATTCCGATTGCCAAAGAGGAAGTGTGCGGTAGGTCAGCACGACGCCTGACTGAGCTTTCTTGCTGAGGCCCCTCAGGGGTGGGATGAGGGGGGTCTCTAAGGGGGACACGCTCCTTTTCCGTGGTGAAATGTCTCCTCAGTCCTCACTTAGAGTCTTACCTGACTTCGGGCAGGAACTGTGACTCCTCACTATGACTTGAGACCACACACCTCAGAGCAAGTCCTCTCTGCCCTTCAATGAGGGAAAAGGTTATCAAGGGGGCGTGGCGCCCTGTTATCCCTGCCTGGGGTCTCCCGCGGTGGCAGCAGGGGCAGGGCTCTGCACACGGCTCACTTCCGTGAAAAGTGACTCATACTCCTCAGGCTGATTCTGCTGGATTCTGGAATCACTCCCCCTACTGGCCAAGGTCTGTGCTCCTCGCACAATGTCGTCACGTCCTGAGATCTATGAGGAAGGATGAGGGGTGTCTCATCCAGAAAGTCCCACCTGGAAACTTCAAGGGTGAAAGCATATGTGGACCAGGCTTCTTTATGCTTCTGTCACTCTCCTCTGTCCTCGTATACAGTGCATCTCTTTTTTGGCCCCTTTCTCATTGAGTTAAGACTTCTTGGATATGCCCATCTCTGCTAATTCTTGATGAGTTTAATTACTTTAAACTTTGCATAGGTAGGGACGTCCCTGATGGCGCAAGGGGTTAAGCACCGCACTATGAAGCGATCCGAAGCCTCCACAGCAAGAGTTCGATGCCCGGTCTGCCAGGGCGCAATTCACATGGCAAAGAGGATGTCTCCTGTCTCGCCTGCTGCTCCCCTCAGCAGTATATTTCAGTCAGTCTGCCTGTTCTGTTTCCCACTCTGTCTCTGGTGAATCCTCTCATCCCCCGCATCTCTGACCTGTACCCCAGCTCTTGTATGCATAGATGGATATATCTTAAAAAAGAACAAAAAACTTTCCATAGTTAGGAGTGGGCTGTGTCCCAGCGTTCATGTGACATGGGGTGTTTATCCTACAAGGTAGGCAGGCACTAGACGGAAGAGAGATATCAGACAAAACTGCTGATCTGTTTCTCCAGTAGCTAGTCAGACCCTTGTATAAATTCTGTTCTAAAAAAATTGCTTTCTACTGAGTGGAAAGATCTTGAAAGCACTTGATTGTTTAAAGGTTATCAGATATTGCATATGCAGAAACCATGACAGATCACGCATAGATAAATCACTGCTTTTTTCCCCCATACCACTCATTTATTTAGTTATCACGTTGTTCTGGCTATAGTTCCAGCATAAGTTTATAACAGTGGAGAGAACTTGACTCAAATAATTTTTCGTTGTGTCTTCTCACCGGTTGGGTTTTTATATAAAGGAAAGTTTTTAAAATGTGTGGAACAATTTCAAATCTTTCTGTGTGATTTGGAAAAGTTTACATAAGATGATGATTAAATTGTACTTGATTATATGATGCAACTGGCCTCTAAATCTGATCTGGTCTCAGTGGCTTGACTTAAAATTTCAGGTTTATAATTGTTGGTTAAAATTTTTACTTTTTCTGATGGGCCTATTTTGCAATCAATATTTTATTTTTTAAAATATTTTTATTTATTTATGCATACAAGAACCGGGGTAAAGGCCAGATGTACAGGAAGGTGAGAGGATTCACCAAAGACAGAGTAAGGAACAGAACAGGCAGACTGACTGAAATACACTGCTGAGGGCGAGACAGGAGAGGTCTGTCACACCATGTGGGTATCTCGCTGACCTGCCAGGATCTAACCGGCTGCGCCACCAGGGGAGTCCCACGATTAATATTTTGCTAAAAGACAGCATTTCCTTTCAGTATTTTAATTTAAAGGTAAGATAGTAAAAATAAATCATTCTATAGACCTTATCAGTAATGTACACAAAACAGTATAATGTAGCCTACATAACTTACAATCATTATAGTAATAATTAATAGTTAAGTAGAATCCTTATCTGATTTCTGCTATTTCTTTTTGGTCAATGTGTTTGCACTTTGTCAAGACTACTCCAGACATTTTGCTAAGACATTCTGTTAGGAGATACCTAACGTGGATAGAGCTAGAAGGAATTATGCTCAGTGAAATAAGTCAGAAGGAAAAAGAAAATTATTGGATGGCTTCACTTATACGAGGAATATAGGGGAACCAAGTAAGACATCAGTGTAAAAAAATGATAACAGTATAAAACACAAAAAAAGCAAAAAACAGACAATTATAAATCAGAGACATCCTGCAGGGGAAGATGAGGGAGAGGGATCACGGGGAGTGAGTGAGGAGCACAGGAGACTGAGGTGATGGTACACGGGTGCATTGGTGAAGGAAACTCTATGGGGACTACAACTGAGGGGGTGGGGGGAGCAAATATTGTTTATAAATGAACAATGATGTAAAATATAAAAAAATTAAAAAAGATAAATTGCATTGGAGAGGGAAATCAGTATCAGTCTGAAAAGCCCAAGTGAAAACATCTCAAATGAAGTCTGGCATTCAATACAAAGTTCACAGCTATGGACTTCAAATTGTCTGGTGAAAGGAAATACTGATCCTTGACCTTCTTGAGATCACAGGCCATTAGAGGAGTTTTGTAGCTCTGAACAAGAAAGAATGAATCAAAACGAGAACTGAAATGCCCCCCTGAAAAGCAAATGTGAGTAAACAAAAAATGATCAGAATAAAGCTCCAAACATATCAAAAAAAAAAAAAAAAAGGAGATACATAATGTGTATGTCTTCCTTTTTGGTGATCTTGGTACTCTTGCTGTGGTTATTAGCCATTTTCCATTATGGGCAGTTAGAATGTTCATTCTCTTGTTCTATTCGCTCTCCTTAATTTATTACCTGAAACTCTGCTGTGGGTAGAACTCTTTCTTTGTCTGCTATTTGTTTATTTTAATCTGCTATTTTAACATATTTCTAATATTCCTGACAATATTTTTTTATTTTTTTAAATATTTATTTACGCATACAAGAATTGGGGTACAAGCCATAGGTGCAGGGGTGAGAGGATTCGCCAGAGACAGAGTGGGGAGCAGCAGAGGTGGATCTACTGAAATACACTGCTGAGGGGAGCAGCGGGCGAGACAGGTGAAGTCTTCTGTGCCATGTGGGTTAGCTCCATGGCCAGGGAGATAGAACTCACGGTGCAGGGGCATATGACAGCTTGATAGTGCTGACACTTTAACCTCTGTGCCACCAGGGGGGCCCTCCTGATAATATTTAAATCCCCCATGCATCTAATATTTTATACATTATCTAACTAATAAATAACACTTATTACTGTTTCTTTTATAATTGTTAGTACCTATAAAATTATGTATGTCCATATTTTCTGAGAACTGACTTTAGTGAGTTGGCTCTATAATCTTCAAACTTATCAATTTTGCATTTATCTTCACTACTTCTTATCTTCTACTTCTTTAAGCTTTAAGTTCTTTTTCTTTAGCTAGTATTTTTTTAAATGTTTGACTATGTCAAACATATGCATTGCTCTATAAATAAGTTTAAGGCTATAATAAAATTCTCAATACCACTGCTTCATACAATTGGTCCTATGGACATATGACATATACTCTTAGAATTTTATAACCTATGTAAATGCTGAGTGTAAGAAACTATTTTGGAAATGCTTGGAGGGGAGAAGACTGATTTTTTTGTTTGTTTTTGCTTTGTTTTGTTTTGGTTACTACTAGTAAAAAATAATTAAAAACTAGTGAAAGATGAGTTACAGACTTGAGTTTTCATTTGGAATTTGAGGACAATTTAAATAACAGTATCATTGGCCAACTGTAACATGAGGGATAATCCAGTGAGTGTAAATATATAAATCAGAGGGCTTTTAATGCAGTGAGTAGGTTACACAAGTGATACAGAAGCCAAACACAGGAGAATCAGGAAGATTAACTCTTCACAACTAGTGGAGGACACCCCCACATCGAGCCTGGTGGGACAAATAGAGGAGATGGTGTTCTTGGACCTAAAAGTTGGGGTTGACAGGATCTAGAACTATGGTGGACTAATCTGACGGGGATTGGACTCAGTAGAAGATGCAACAATTGAAGCAGAAACCACCTCACACAGAGAGGAAAGAGAAAATTTGTGAACATTATTATCCTCCTGGGGTTTAATCTCATACAGGTATATCCTTCTGGCTAAACTGGGTTAGCATCTAGGTGTTAGCTAAGCCTAGGAATTGGGAGTGAGAATCCATATAATAGTGTAAAGAGGAGAGCAAGGGTGAAGAACAGATCTGAGGACAAATCCATCAAGGACTGGCATACTTCATTAACAGACTAAATGAGAAAAGTCGTATCTAAATTGTTAGGTGAATGTGAAAACCATTACAGTATGGAAACTGGATGGTATCTAAATTGATACAGAAAAATATTTCATAAAATAATCATCCTTTATTCATGATAAAAGCCATTTTCTCAAAGTAGATAAAGGATAGCGACAAAATACCTTAAAAACATACTTAATATGGAAGTCCTGAAACCCTTTCCTTTCCAATTAAGAAGTTGATAAATACGCCTGCTATTAATATTTCTATTCTACATTTTAATGAAAACGTCACATAGGAATGTGAAACAGAAGTTATCAATGAGATAGAAATAACAAAATGGAAAATAATGCTGCTATAATTAAACAGTAATATGATGCAGAGCCTCCCCGGTGGCGCAGCGGTTGAGCGCTGGGTTGCGAGGCTGCCTGCAGCCTCTGCAGCACGGGTTCGATCCCCAGCGGCCGGGCGAGGGTCCCACATGGTGCGCAGACCTCTCCTGCAGCCCACTGCTTCCCTCAGCAGTGTATTTCGTCAGTCTGCCTGCTCTGCTCTCCCCTCTGGCTCTGGTGGATTCTCTCACCCTCCCATGCTTCTGACTGTACCCAGTGCTTGTATAAATAAATAAATAAATAAATCTTAAAAAAAAAAACAGTAATATGATGCATATCAGAAATATTTACAAAAAGAAAATGTTTAAATCAACAAAAGCAGTTTTAAAGGTTCCTCGGTATAAGGTTAAGAATTTCTGTTCCTTTTCTCCTTAATAAACTTTTCCTTATATCTAAAAAAAAAAAAGTTAAGATGCCAAAATATGCTTTTTTCTGTAGCAACTGACAGTTTAAAGATAAATTTAATAAAATTGGATGAAAAATAACTTTTAAATTACCATTACAAATACCTGAAGCATAGAAATGAACATTAAAAAAATTTAAAGATGCTGTAGAAAAAAATTACAGATCTTAGGGAAATTATTGGATTACTAACTTAACAGAGAAATGTTTTTAGTTGGAAGATTCATTTATGTAAACATGTTAATTCTCCCCAAATTTAGTGTACTAATGACTATAATCCTTCCTCAACAATAGTCAGAATGGTTTTGCATGTTAATGTTTGTATACCTATAAATGTGCATGTTGATCTGGGGAAGCTGATTCTAAA